TTTAAGCGTGGCAAACTGTGTTTGAGTGTGTTATACTGTGTCGGTTTGTGTCTCCTAAAAGGAAAGCAGCCTAATAATTATAATCTTGTCTTACTGTATTGTTTTGATTGTAAAATACATTTTTCCATTCTTCTGACGTATTTATAGAATATTGTACAGAATTTGTCAATTTTTAAATATATTCATAAATAAAACAAGACTATACAATTGTGATATATATCATATCTATTTAGCCTCTCGCACCGTTCTGCCAATTCCCAACATATACTACCCGATGCTGGGTCTATCGTCTATCTTATACGTCTATGGTTTTATCCTCATCTCCTTCTTTTTACTCCGTGACCGTGGCTCATGACAGATTTCATAACCTCAATAGTAACAGACTTGGACAAACTTATTAATATTTCGTTTCGCGAAGCAGAGTGCCGCGTTTTTCTACCATATTTTTATCGTATCATGCAAAAACACGTCAAATAAGTGTTTTCATCAAGATTCGTGGTGAATCTCGTATTCTAAATAATTACAAAGGCAAGAGAATTTTAGTGGAGGAATAAAAAACATCTTTTTCTCGACAAAATGTCGATGCTATTTCGAAGGATCGTTGGCAAGTTACAAAGAACTACATGTCCTCCGTTGAGATATTGCATGACTGTAGAAAATCAAGCAAAAATTGAAGATATCGTTCCAATTATATCCGAGATACAATACGACGACGGAAACAATTTCTATCAAAAGCCTCGGCAAGTATGGCTAGAGAATTTAAATACCGTAGAGGAAAAGAAATTGGGTTTGGTTACTTTACACCCACACATCTATGCTGCTGCACCTCGTATTGATATCATTCATCAGAATGTGAGATGGCAGAGAATGTACGGCTGGGTTGTAAGTGTATTGTGTAATTATATTTGTGTCAAGTGTTCGAGATTTATATCGATACATATTTGTTTACAGTCTTATGCGCATACAAAAACACGTGCTGAAGTCCGAGGCGGTGGTAGAAAGCCTTGGCCACAGAAAGGAACAGGACGAGCTCGCCATGGGAGTATACGTTCACCATTGTGGAGAGGTGGTGGAGTAGCGCATGGTCCTCGGTCTCCAACGCCGCACTTTTACATGTTGCCATTTTACACCCGTCTAGCAGGTCTTACGGCAACATTATCTGTGAAACTCGCTCAAGATGATTTACATATAGTCGATGAATTAGAAATTCCAACGTCGGAACCTTCCTATGTAGAGCGGTTAATCGAGGAGAGAAATTGGGGACCATCTGTTCTTCTTATAGACAGCTATGATATTATGCCTACAAATATTACGCTAGCTACTGATCAAATTAAGCATGTCAATATAATGCCTGTTTACGGTAAGTCTGAATTTATGCAACATGCATAAATTCTATACATAAATTGTATGAATTCTGATATCTAAGCAAACCTAATAATACAAATCGCAGCCAAAAATAAAAATTCACATACATTAAGTTAAATATACTTGAGCAATAAATTTAGAGGGTTGATGTAAATGTGTATAAATCATTTAAATATTCTAAGCTTTCATCTTTACATGTAATTACATCTTATGATTTCCACGAGAACGAATTTACTCCCAACATTTTAAGATGCTTCTGGACTTGTTGAGTTCAATGTCCAAATTAGTCAGAATGAAATAATCTTTTAATTAGTAAAGGAGATGCTTATTATCGTCTTCTTTAATGATTCCTAATAAGTAACAACATTAATATATGTCATATACTGAAGTTTTACATCTATTTTTTTTTATGTATATAGGTTTGAACGTGTATAGCATGTTGAAACACAACACTCTGGTACTTACGGAAAAAGCAGCTAGACTAATAGAAGAAAAATTACTTTATCATTTACATAGGGCGGACAATAATCAATTATTACGTCCATTTAAACTTAATCAACAATGAGAAACGATTTTTCATGAAATTAGAAACTTATGCATACATATATGTGTATTATTGGTTATATATACAGATTGCAATGCTTGTGTATGTACATATTTTAAGTATCACTTTACAAATTAAATCATTAAAAAATATTAAAGTAAAATAGTTTAATTATTGTCATATTATTTAACAAATCAATTTTCTATAGGTATACATTTCTTCTCTTTAAGACAATTCGTTATCTGTCACTTCCTCTTTAATATTGGTGTGCGTGTCATCGACTTTTTTGAAAGTGGCTAAAATTAAATCATATATATTTTACAGGAAAATTTTCAGCATATACATTCATAACTGACATTGTAACAATTTATGAATCTTACTATAGGATGTGGATCTGTACCAAGCATCTTTTCTCGCACAGCCCACCTTACTTTGGAATGCTTTGCTTCTCCAGGAAAGGATATCCGCTTCCATTCTTGTTGATACTTTTGATAAAGAGCAACAGGGTCACACTTCTTGTTGATGATACTTTTCTGTACCTCCGATTGTAACCTCCATGGTCGAATAACTGTATACAAATAGCTCGAATACAAAAAAGAAAAATTCTTAAAGATTTTAACAAAATTATATATATAAATCTTACACAACTTACATGATTTAGGTCCAGAATTAACAGATGATTTTGCAGATAAGGCACTTTGTGTACGAATGTTTCCAGTCGGATCTGATGTAACGCTCTTTGATTCCGATTGGCTTACATAATTTGATAAAACCGGTGCGCTCGATGGATGTATCAAAGTCATTGGTTTCATCTGTTCGTCTATTTTTAAATTTTCCTTATATCTTTCTGCCAAATGACTATTTTTTGTTAAACATTCAAAAATATCTTGTTTAGTTTCACTTTTTGAGTTTTTAATAACTGGATAAGATTTAGTATTAGAATAATTTTGTTCACAATAAATCCTATTAGATTCAGCTACTTCAATAGCATTTTGCTTGTTGCATTTTGTTTCTGATAATTTCTCATCTGATTTTATCACGTTTGCTTTGGAGCATCTTTGTTTTTGTACATCTTCCTCCTTAGAGATACATCTTATTCGAACTTTTACCACTGACTCATCATCAAGCGAATTTGAAAATTCGGAAGGAACGATATTGCTCAAGGAATAATCTGCTGTGTCATGATGTCTATAAGCTTCCCTGAGCAGAGTCTGTTGCTTGTTAATTATTTTCGTTTTAATCTCTTCTTTTTGTTGCTGCCTTTCGCGTTCTCTTACCTTTCTGTATATCTTCAAATCTAGAAAGAAAAATGTAGCAAAATCCCAACTGTTTTATAACAAAGT